CAAACATCTCCCATATTGTCTAGTGGTTAGGATATCCGGCTCTCACCCGGAAGGCCCGGGTTCAATTCCCGGTATGGGAAATTGTAACTCAAGAGTTTTTTTTTGCTATATATATAAAATTTATATATATATATAAATATACATATTCTTTTCATGTTTAATATAAGTTGGAAATGATTTATTGACTGAGTAATTCATGATTTTTTTTTATATAAATAACAATGTTGCGTTAAGACAAAAAGTACGATTTGTAGTGAATATAACATAACTGATTTCTGGTGGACATTACTCTGTATCCCATATGGTCTAGTGGCTAGGATATCTGGCTTTCACCCAGAAGGCCCGGGTTCGATTCCCGGTATGGGAAGTAATTTTTTTACATTTTATTTCTATTTGACTTAATATTTAATTAATTTATATATTTAAAATACATGCATATATATAATTAACATGTCTCGTTTAATTTAGAAAATGAAATGATCATTTTTGGCTATTTAGTAACATGTTTGTCACGAAGCGCCAGCTGCGATCGAAACGTGTTCTTTTTTTCTCTTTTTGTGCCATACAATTCCCAACAGGTTCAAGCAGCTGGCGTTAGGTTAGCCGGCTGCTTGTCACGGAACGATTGTCATTAGTAGTGGTAGACTGACGTTCTACCCAAATACTAAAAGGCCAGTTGATGATACAGAATTATGACCCTTGTGATTATAATTAAATACCACGATTCTGACGGGGTTGCTCCTGCCTAGAGTTGTCGGTTGTACTGATGGTCTTCCAACTAATGACAACTTTTTCAAAGCAATCAATGCGAGTGTATAATTTTCAGCTAGTCAACCAAAAATAGCAATAGTTTGGTGGAGAGGGGGAGGAGTGGCTGGTGCCAGTCGCTCTCAACTCATCATATGGCATATTGCCACTTGTATCTGTGCGGGTGGCGCTTATTGATGCTGTGTGACCACACCAGAGTCGGTCGGTCTATCCAACTGTCTGTCTGTCTGGCTGGCCCGTGACCGTGGCAACAAAAAATCAGCCACACTGGTTGCCTCTCGTCATTTTGTCTATATAAATATGTGTGTGGGTTTGTTGTATTGGCGTGTGTTCAGCTTCAGTTCTTTTTTCGGCAAAAATTTACATAAAAATCGCATTACACTTAACATCCACTTTGCTAAACGAAGCGCATGAAAGCGGCGGGCGCCGCAGCTGCTGCTGGGGTCTTCAGCTCTTCATGCCCCACCCACACCCCGCTTGCTTCTTCTGTATTGGGTGCTGCGCTTTTGTAAGCCCTGTCTATATATGTCTCTCTCTCTCTCCCTGACAGGTTGAAGTGCATCGCGGCCTATGAAAATTAAATTAAAAAGCGCATCCAAAAACGTGCAAAAGGAAAAACAATTTTTTAAAAATAAGCACACTCAAATTGCAATTTGGCAGATACGATCTATATTTGGACAGCACTTTTACTCTGGGAATATATGAAGTGTTTCTGTTGCAAAAATTGGCAAAAATTAATTGCTATTGACAGAAAAATAGAAGGAGTAAGAAAGAAATCGTGTGACAAGAAACTATCAATATGAAAAGTTCTTAGTACAATTCGTAACTCACTCAACATGAATATTTCCTAATAATTTATATTTAGCTATTTAACTTTCTATTCATGTTCGAACCACATTTCCAATTGGAAATGTTCATACATTATTTACAATGAAAGTCATAATTAGAAAGTTATAAATAAAATAAGAACTTTTTGGTAAAGAACTGAACGATTAACAATTTATAAGAAACATAATTAAATGTCAAAATTAAAATTGTACTTTATTAATTATAATTATTGATAGGAAATATAAATAGTTCTGGCATTGCTCAAATGCCATTGACTACTTCTATATGCATCGATCTATAGATAAAAGTCCCCGTCATTTCTCAAGTTTATTTCCTGTACTAGAATATAATTGTATTGTATGAAATTGGCCATCATTTTGGTCCGTTGTGTATTTGGCTGGTGCAGTCAGCGTGTAGTCGGCCCATAGCTTACTAACGTTAAGTGTTTGGGCCATTAAACATTTACGGTGCATAGTTAAAGCGACACACGCTAAAAACTAAAATGAAGCCAGCTGTTATGCGTCTAGTTGGTTATTAAATATAATTAACGCACGGCGATTTGTTGCCCAGCGCCATAAAATGAAGTTGTATGTGGCACGAATTAGTTGAATGCTAATCAGGATGAGGCAGGACACGGCGAGAGGGAGTAGTTGGCGGGTTGCCTGCGAACCCATCTGTTGTCCCGAAATGTGCAGCGAAGCTTGGCTAAAAACAAAAGTCAACACACACAAATTAGTTAAGTCAAAGTGTCCTTCAACTGACTGCAGTCCTTGTTGCTGTTGTTGCTGTTGTTGTTTGTCCCGCCCAGGCAATATACTCGTAATACATATTTAAATGCAACTGATTAATCATGAATAAAGTTGTTGTGTGTTCACAGTTGTTGCTGTTGTTGCAGTTGTTGTTGTTGTTGTTGTTTGCCTGGTCACGTGACTGAAAACAATTTGACTTCAAACACATTAACAGTTACGCTCGATGTTAAAAATACTAAATAAATAAATAAAAACAAAAGAAAAAAACAGAAATGTCAGGCACGCAGTGTGGCTCAAGGGGAGAGGTTGTTGGGTTGGCTGGGTGTTTGTCAAGAACAGTCACTAACTTGGCTAACTAAAACTTTTCATGCATTGCCGTTGACAGTGCAATAAACATGCCAAAACAACAGCAACAACAGGAACAACAACTGCAGCAATAACAACAACAACTTGTAAAAATAATAGCGTCAACTGACCCGCCCATATCACCGCCCCCAAAACACGCCCTTACCTTCTAAGGGTGGAGTGTAATAGGAAAAAAAGTAAATAAGTAAACTCTTCGAATTAGACACGTAGCCAGTAAAATATTTGGTTGGTTCGAGTGCAGGGGGGGGAAAAAACTCTGGAACACTGAAATAGTTGGCAGCTCTTTTCCAAGAATTGCCAAGAATTTGTTGTTTTTATCAATTTTAGAAAGCCTTTGTTAGCACAGGGTGCAACTGGGTGATTTATGAACTTTGCTTTCAGTTTGTGGCGCCTTCCCATTTTTGAATAGATATTTCATTTAGTACACATGCTTTTCAAAATGTTGAGTTTATTTTCAGCTATATATATATAGGCATATACCATAAAATTAAAAGACTTATAGCTCTGCTCTCTGCTCTCTGCTCTCTGCTTTGCTGCATTCATATTTTTCTGCTTTATTTTCCACATCCATATTGATTATATTCCAAATTTATCATGCTGTCATTTTTTTTGCTGTTCCATTTGTAATCACGAATTTGTTGGCTTGTATAAATGGTAAGTATTCATTACATGTGTGCAAATTCGCGTTGCATGGTGGAACAATTTTAATTTTTCTTATTGCAAAAACTGAAAAACAGGGTGACTAATGGGCTGGGCCCCTGACAAAAAGGGGGTTGACTGACTGCAATAGAGGGGAGTTGAATGCATGACATTCATTGTGTTTAATGAACATCCATTACTCCGCCGTGCGTTATGTAATGTCATAAATAATCGCAAAACGTGCAGCACAGCGAAAAACCATAAAAAATTTGCCAATATTGCTAAAAATTGCCCCGCAACAGATGGCAACAATTCTTCGACAAGCAAAGCCCGCCGCCACACGAGGCGCAATGGCTTTGTCTATTTATAGATTATTCTCAGTTCGTCGGCAGCCGAACAAATGCCGAGGCGCTGAGCAGAAAACCAAGTTTTCGGCAGTCGTTGTCAACAATCCTCGATAGTATAGTGGTTAGTATCCCCGCCTGTCACGCGGGAGACCGGGGTTCAATTCCCCGTCGGGGAGAGATTGTAGACAATTTTTTCTTCATTTTTTATATATTTTAAATATATTATTTGTTATAACCAAATAAAGCTGGTATAAAGTATAAATTTTACTGACAATTCAAGACAGTCAAGCAGGCGATCCGGTCTCAAATCAGCTTGGATAACATAATGAAAGTCGTTTTCATATTTTAAAAAGTTGATTAATATTCTTTTTTCTTAGTTTTGAAACTGTTTGAACAACTGGTTAACTAATAACAGTAAAAGACAGGCGGCAACTATTATTAATGAGCTATGGATTTAAGCCAAAGAGTGTTGCTTTGTTTCCATTTATGTTTTCACATCAACAGCTCAATTTTGCTTTTTTGTTTTGTTTTTTAAAGATGCGTATCTGTGAAGTGTAGAACAACCCTTTATCTGTCTGTCTGTCTGTCTGTCTGTCTGTCTGTCAGTCGCCTGTTACGAGTAGTTGGCAACCCACACGCCACTCCACAAAACCCTTGCCCTTACCCCTAGTTGTGCTGGGTACCTGCGCTGCTCTGAACCCATTAATACTCATTAGTATCTGCATTCTTTCTATGTAGGGGGTATATATGTTGTATGTGTTGTATAGGTTGGGTGTCGTTTGAGACACACTTCAGCGTGCGCCTTTATCAGCCATTTAGCCACTTTGTGCACATATATAATCCCCGGGACGCTCAACAACCGCAACAATATGCGTGTTTATTATTGTTGTTGTTGCTGTTGCTGTTGTTGCCTGGTTGGTTGTTCGGTTGGTTGACTGTTGTTGTTTTGAGTGCGGTTCGGGCTTTATTTCTTTTGTCTATACTCTTAATATTATTAAAAAATACACCCAAGGGCACAACAATTCGGTTGAGTCGGTTAGTTTTTTTTTTTTTGTTGGTGGTGGGGTGGCTCGGACCGTTTCCAATAATAGCAGACGCATAAATTCTGTGCTGCTAACCCCCCAGACAATTAGAAGAACAGAAATTGTGGTTGGGGTGTATAACGCTGAAGTGGGTGGGTGGGTGATCTCTGTTTGTGTCATGTGCATACTTACGTTTAAGTAAAAAACTGCAAAAATCGTTTTCTACACACACAAGCAGAACCATTGAAAGAATACAATTTAACAATAAAACACACACAATGTGACTGACATCCAGTGAGAGACGTAACTCAAAAGTGATAAATGATGTTGCAGCTTATTGTTGTTGTTGTTGTTGCTGTTGTTGTTGCTGATGTTTCCACAGTTGCCATTGGCTTTTTGAGTAGCAGGCATCACGTTTATATTTGCGCTGTAAAATGGTTTAGCGTTGCTGTCTTTTCCCTTACAAATGAATTGCAAGCCATGTTAACTGTCATGTTAGCCAAACGACGAGTTGACAAGCGCAACGGCATTTGATTAGCAGCAATGCCAACCAGGCAAACAAAAAAAGCAACCGATTCTAATACAAATGGGTGCTTCGCAGCAAATTGAAGTAACTGTAAGCACCGCGCATAATCTGCAACAACAGAAACGAGTGAGTGAAAAGGAGTAAGTAATCAGGATTAGGAATCAGTTGTCCTGCCTCACATCGATAAAGGTTTTCAGATTCAGCTCGACGAGTAAGGCGCGCATCTTCAGTGGTCGCTGGGCGTGCATCATCATGAAGAGCAGCATCTTTTGCACGGGCAGACTGAAGTTGTACCAGTCTACGGCGTAGAGTGCAAAGCACAATTCATTCTGCTGCAATTGATGGGAAACAACTCACAGCATTAAACATTTGTCAAAGCAAAAGTGAAGGGGAAACACAAAATAGGGATTCATTAAAAATGGAAAGGACAAAATGAAAAGTTGCTCGAAATTATCTCAGTGGTCGCATTATAAAAACACCATTTTAATGATGACCATTATCTGCTGGCGATACTTTTACTTTAGTATTGTATTTGAATTGATTTCACTTTCCAATTACGCTTTTTATCGGAATTTATAGCGCACTTTTCTGAGTTGCATTTGTAGTTTACAAAGTGAGATTTAGGTTTAGTTGAAAAAGTATGCAACAAATTCTGTGCTTAGCTCTAAATAGATTCAAATAGAACAGATACAAATCAAACCAAATAAAAAGCGATTCAACAAATGTATAAGAAGCGTTTAGATGATTGAAAACTCTTTAAATCTGAGTTCATTCATCATGGTTTTTTACTGACCCATCAAAATTAGCCAGCTTATTTGGTATTTCTCAAAATATGTTAACTAAAATCAGGGATTATATTTGGGGAATTAAATATGGAAACTTTTAACCTACACATTCAACAATTAAGGTTGCATGCCAATGATAAATGAACAGAATCGAAGCCATAACAAACAAATAGAGAAACATGAAGAAATAATCCATTGTGCTGGGCACCTGAAAGAGATTTGATCCAAGTAAGCCACAAGTGTTAAAGAATAAGATGATTTCTGATCAACTTACGCCAACCGAGAAGGCAAAGAATAGAAAGCAAATGAGAACCGAGAATATTATAAAATCGGCCATAACTGGGATGCGCAGCAGTTGCTCCAACTCCAGCACAAATCGGCGTATCTTGAGCTGTTCCGCAACAAAAGAGTTGCAGAGCTGCAAATGCCAATGCTTGAGCTCCGCAACAGTCAGTTGTTGCAACACCAGATCGGATTTAAAGCGTTCGATCTGCAGCAGAACAAAGTAATTGGATTACATATATAAAATATATATATATATATTCGTAATATTCACATCCATGTCGCGCACTCGTTTGTTGAGTATCTGCTGCTTGAGGGTGACGAACTTCATGAGGCACGTGATGACGGTGTGCCACAGGGGAATTGTGGTAATGCCCAAGCCAAGTGCATACCACGGTCCCAAATAGCCAATAAAAATATTATCCCACAGTTCGCCAAAGGGAAACAATTTGAACAGTAAAATCGGCTGTGCCTCGCCATGCTGCACGGCGACCATATTGAAAACGGATTGCGGCAGGAAGATGGTGCGATAAATACAATCCAACCAGGCCATCAATCCAGCCACAACCGACGGCACCCACAGCAACAACGTTATCGTCCGCACATACATCTGGGTGGAGTGCATCAAGTCCAGCTCCTCCTCATCAGCCTCCAGTCGCAACTGCTGCAGATCAGCCAGAGCAATGCGTAGCATATGAACGACTCCTGTGGCGGGTGGAAAATTGCAGTTCTTCATATGAAAACAGAAAAATTGAACCCCAGAGAGTATATACTCCATAAATATATATATATATATACATGTATATATATATATACATGTGCGAGAAGGTTCGTCTGTCTATGTTTTTATGCCAACTTGTATCTCAATTCTAAAGCTATCTTGATGAAACTTGGCACACAATAGTCTCTTTGCTGCAGACAATCGCAGATTGCAGTATCGGATTACTATATAATATAGCTACCATAGAAGCGATCGGTCGAAAGATGAGTTCTTGGACGACAAACTTATTTATTCAACAAGATATCGCTGACCGAACTTATCCACTATGAGCATTATATTGCATCTTCCCGTCGAATATCATATAGTTCTCGTTGGAACGATTGGTCGTAAGATCTGCACTTCGAATAGCCATATTTTGGTTTACCAAGTTATCTTAGTTGTCGATTACCTGGTCTCAAGGCTAAGTAATCTTAGTGGTGCCGAAGACAGCACTTCTTACTTGCATTGATTAAACTTAAAGTCAAACTTTTCTCGGAGTTTTGACATCGAGATAGTTATCAGTATCAGCATTAGAATACTGTCTGTGGGGAGACTCACGCTTCCGCTGCACTAAGGCATTCAGTGTGGCAATGGAGACGGCGGAATATTGGACAGCTGTGGCCCAGCTGGTGGCGCCATCATTGATATTGTCATAGCCACGGGCGAGAAAGCCGCGGGTTAGCATCAGGGCACAGCTCAGCCAAATGGACGCCGTGAAGATGGTGCAGCGGATGAGGGCCAGCCACGGATGACGCTGCTCAATGGAGGCCACATAGCCGTACACCTGAAAGCAGCGCAAGTGTATCCGGAAAAGCGGATCCTCAAAGCTCTCCGGCCTAAGCAGTAGTTCCTTCACCTTGTACATTTTGACTGTGAGCCGCCCTCGAATCCATCGCCTCTTTTATAGCCTTTGTTTGTCTAACTCTGTGTGTCTGTGTGTGTTTAATGCGTCCATTTTGATTGTTAAGTGGCCTGCAATTTGAATAAGTAAGGTGCTGAAAATTGCATGGTGTGTAATTGTCATTTAATAGCTGTTATTTAGCCATATTTAACCAACTGAAGCATTTTGGTCAACAGATGTTCTAGTTCTCCATTCGTAAACATGGCAAATCGTACAGCTGACATTTCCAGTTTAGACTCCAGATTCTCGACTCGGCTATTATATTTTCCAATTCACAGTATTTCCATAGTATTAAACAACTTATTTAAGCTTAGGTCAGCTCTATAAACAAATGTCAATTACTTTGCACGCCCCAAAAAAAAGGAGAGATTGTCAAAAACATGTCAAACACAACGAAAACAGCCTGTGGAAAAGTTAAAAAGTTGAATTCCACTAACGAAATTTAACTCGTATGCAGATGCTGTGCACTAAAACCATTTGATATTAGACTTTTGTTTAGATACTTTAGTTGGCTCCCAGTGAACAACATGTGGACAAAGTTTGCCCCAAAAAGGTGCCAGGCGAGCGTTGCATGTAAATCTAATTTCCAAGTTGGGAACAACAATTTGAAAGGCAGTGTTTTAGATGTATAAATAAAGTGCTGCCTGCTTGAAACTATGATATCATGTTGTGTGTGTGTTTTGCTCCAACTTGAATTACTCGGTTGACTAAGCTAACTGAAATGGTTTGGCATTATAGTTTGATTATATTTTTATTGGCATTCGTAGTTTACCAGCAGTAATTTCTGCGACTAATACTTTATTATTATTATTATTATTATACTGTGTCCCTTATTGCATTCAGAAGAATGCCAGATTTGTTGTCGGGTTGAGCGTTTCTATGTCTTTCGAGTTGATAACATGTCTTCCAGGATACTTTAAGTTTTTCTAATATATATTCTGATATGTTCTTAAGCAAGTAACTAACAAATTGAGGTGCTTAAATCTGGAAATCCATTGAATTCAAATTTGCTATAAATATTTCAGCTTTATGCACTGAAAAGCTGCAAACCAAAATGATACTCAATCTGAGCAGACGGCTAACTACGGGGCCAATTTGTTGAGTGGCTTGTCAAATGCTCGGCTTTCCAACTAGCCACTTGAACTGGCAACTGCCCCAACCCCAGTCCCAATCCCATCCCTCAACCCTCTACTGAGGATAATTCGCAATTCGAGTGAGTCTAATACACATGAGCTGCACTTTGAGCTGCTGCTGATGTTGCTCTGTCGTTAATGGTATTAAATGAAATAAGATTCTTTGCATTTGCAGTCAAGCGGCCAAAACACACACACAATGCACACGCACAACAAACACACACACACACAGCAGACTACAACAAAAATGTGCAACTTGCCGATGCATTGTCAATGCGGCAATCATATGCAGCAGTTGAGTAATTCGTGGGTAATCGTGAATGGTTGAGTGGGTGTTTTGTTGGTTCGTTGGTTGCTTGGTTGCTTGGTATGGGAGTGGGGCATATATCCAACTATATCCAACGGATATTGTGTCTATGGCATCATACGAATACGAATACGTATACGTGGCGTCGTCTATTTCACAATTTGCATTTAATATCCTTGTGTGAATAATTTACAAATGCAATAAACGTAAATGCGTTCGAGGCAATGCTGCTGTTGTTGTTCGCATACATATTGCAAAATGGCAGCTGAAATGGAGCAAATGGAGACCGAAACCGTAACCGAAACCGAACCCGAACCGAATATCCGCAGCATTGAAATGCTTCAGACGTTCAACGACTGACACGCTCCAACTGACTTCCAAGGGGCCGTCGAGACCCCAACTCTGCCCCCAACATCCAACATCTCTCACTGCTCTACGCATATTTGTATGTTGCATGTTTGCAACTGTCTGTTATGTTAGTATTTCTCTGGCTGTGCTTGTTTGTGTTTGTGTTTGTGTGTGTTTGCAAATGTGTAAATGCATTCGCATTTACCACATGCACCCAGCGCCCCCTGCTCCTCTAGACTCCCCTCTGGTGAGTGTCTCCTTGGCGTGAAATTTGCTGTAAGCAGTAAGCCTGTGAGGATATTGAAAGTCACTCGTTTCTGGTATTTACTTATGCATTTGTTTCATGTTTGGCAAAATGATGTTGCACACACACACACACACACACACACACAGACACACAGACACCCACTCACACACACACATGATAGTTGGTTGTGGATGGGAGTGCTTTGGTTTACTGCTGTTTGAATTGGCTTGCAGCTTTTCACGCTACATTTGCCCAGTGTGGCCTTAGCCCAGTAATCGGATATTAGTTGGCTTTCGTTATTGTTATTGCATATTTATTGCCAGTCAAAATTGCAACCCATAGTGCGATGCTGCGTGCACATTTTAAAGTGCCACATAACTTGCCACCGATAAGCGTTAAGTGTTAACTATGGCAAAGGGTTTCCAGTTTTGGTTTCTGCTTTGGTTTGGTTTGCTTTGCTTTGGCTTGCCTCTCTCTGTTGCAGCAGTTTCTGTGTTGTGTGTGTGTGTGATTTCTGTTGTTGTGGTCAAGACTTTGCAACTTTGCAATTGTTTAATGCCAGCTGTCCGTATTGTTAAGCAATTGGAATTCCAATATCAGTTCATTTCGTATAGCGAACTGTGAAATTAAATGCCAAGGAATGTTTACAAAGCAACTTAACAAAAAAATACCAAACCAAGCAAGATGTGCTACTTTTGTAATTACTTTTGCTACTTTTGCCATGTTCAAACTGCATTTTTTTTATTTGATGTTTTTTACTTTGCGATTGCTAAATACTTTGTTTACTTGTTTGCTTTTCTATTACTTGGAATAACTTTCATAACATTGTGACAGTTGAGAGATAAATATGCTAGACATGAACGATCTTGAAAGTGTGATTTGAATTGATCTTAAATTGGAATCATAGTTACAATATAATTGTGCAATAGATTGGATAATTCCCAAGGCGCAACCAAATTTACATTATTAAAAAATTAAATCTCTTCCTTTTAATGCTTATTGCATATTATTTCATGTGCTCAAATTTGAATGATTGCAAACCTATTCTTAGTCATAATGTGTACACTTTGCGAGGGATGCGTTGTGCTGAGATAGCCGCTGGCTGGCGCCTTCCCAACTCTTAACTCTTAGTTTCATTCCTGGTAAAAGTCAGAATTTATGCTTTTTAGCGTGCTGCCAGTTAAGGGAATGGAAGGCCAGCGACCCAGCTCCACACCAAGTGGAACCCTTAACGCTGACCCCTTTGTGCAGTTAAACAAAAAACTGCATTCATCTGACGGGAACGGGAACGGGGACGGGAACGGGTTGAAAGAGGGCCACACAATTCTCGCACATTGTACAAACAGCGAGCATGCCTCTCGGGATCTGGAATGGGACTGAGAATGAAAATGGTATTCAGTTGGTATGGAAGGAGTGGGATGATGGCGGATGGGAGGAGTTATACTTGGACGCATACTTTGTGCTCGCGACTACTTTTTGCTTTTCTTTAACATTATTTTGCACTTTTCAATTAAAAAGTGTGCGCCCCACGCAACCAGGAGTCAGCAGTCAGAGTCCCGAGTCCTGCAGCCGGCACCAGGCAACAGGCACAAACCAGTCAACATCATGATGCCGGGAGGGGACGGCAGCCGGGGGCTGACAACAACTATGGCGTTAAAGGGCGAAAGTAACCCCAAAAGCTGATAAAAAGAAGTAACCAGCCAGCGAGGAAGCCAGCTTGCCAACCAGCTGCCATAATTATAATTTCTTAATGCAAATAAAAACTCGCTGCTGATTTTTCACTTGTGTGTGTGTGCGGGTGTGTGTGTGTGTGTGTGTGTGTGTGTGGGTGTGTGTGTGTGTGTGTGCTGGAGCCAGAATACCAGCCACAATTTAAACATTATAGAGTTTTACTCGGGCGCATCGTTTTACGCTTATTCTTTCATTTGTTTATTTGCTCTTCCCAAAGAGGTATTTGCCATTAGCCACAAGCTTGGTAATCCCTAACTGAAAACTTGTATATATAGCCAGATTCCTGGCAAACAAAGTATATAACATGAAGTGAGAGGGAACTCAATAATATACTTTGAATCCTTGACAATCCTTGAAAAACTACATTATTTCCATATAACTAATTTTATACAATATTAATTTATTTATATGTAATTTTTAATCTTATGAATTATGTTTTTCAGTTAATATAAGTGTAGAACATTGAAGACTTTCTCTAAATATAAATTGTATTTGTTAATTTTCAGTGTTTTTGTATGCTGCAGTCGTAAAAATGATTTAAGAGAGTATCATAAAGTTGTATTAATGTAGGGCATCTGTAAGCACATAAAGTCTATATGGAACTACTATATATATATGTATACTATATACTAAATAAATAAATATAAGCCCATGCTAGTTCCAAGTCTACAGAGTATCTGCTAGCCGTGATACACATATATATACGATAACTTATACTCTTTCAGGATATCTTCCGGTCTCCAACTCTTAACTCGACCAACTTTCATTTGAGTTTTTGTTTGTTTTTTAATTTTTTACTTCTGCCCTTTGGCATAAGGGCAAGTAAAAAGGGTTAAAAAAGAAATTCACCCGACATTGCGAGCGCACTTGCCACTTTTGCCACCCCATTTCCCCCCACCAGCGGCTAGCCCATATTGCTGCTGGAGATGGCGTTGTCCCTTCATGTGTCCTGGTCATTGTGGCAAGCTGCAGTGCAAATAAACATGCATAGTTTATGAATGAAATGAAAAGCGGCTGGCAGCCTCTGACCAATGCACAAATACTCATTTAAGCGCTTGGCTTTTCAGCGCGGCCTGCGCAATGGGCTTACATGGCGTATAATTAATATTAAATGTAATACTTATAAATTAAATAAAAATGGGAAAATGCCAGGCAAAAATACAAAAAAATACAAAAACAAAATAAAATAATAATAAAAAAGAATCCAAGCAGCAAGCAGAAAAAAATGAATGAAACTTTTGCCTCTTGTGCTAGCTGGAGGATTGATGACTATGGCCGTCAAGTTTATTGCCAGCGACACGTACACACACTCTCAGTGC